GTTGGCAAAAATTTTAAATTAGTTTAGCAATTGAGAAGCATTCTCGGTGTCAGCTCTTCTTGGGGTGGCTTCTCTCGAGGGGAAGGTAGTGGAGTGAAGTGTCACGTCAAGGAATCACGAATTGGAATCTCGAAAAACAGCGAGCAAATTGAATTAGCTATGCAAATGTGCTGTGGAATTTTGATTTTGATTTGAGAGCCATATTTACTGGTTATGTCATGGGCAGAAATCCAACCCAAGTGGATTCGCTGCGGGATTTTCACTGCTTTGTGATTTTTCATTGCTCCTTGTCGGAAAGTCGGGGTTTTATGTGATATTTGCAGCTAATATAGCTAATATAGAAAGGTTGCTGCTTAAAACCTTTAAGCAACATAATTAGTTATGCAGAAATGATATTACACAACTTTATATTAATGCTGCATCTCCTTTGTAAGGTTCACTCCATGAGGAATCGAAGCCAGGAGTCCAAATTGCATTAGGCTGTCGCAAATCAAAAGCGACAGTCCCTTCGAGGACCCAGCACGCAGGACGCAGGACCCTTTGGGGACCCTAAATGGAACATAAGTTATCGCCTCGCCAGTATGTCCGTCATATTGAATCAGTCAGCAGCAAATAGAATTTGCACCTGATTAGGATTACGTGGCAAGAGAAGTTGCGTAATGCGTTCGTAAGTCGCCCTCTAATCGCATTAGATGGCGCACATTCCTTGAAGAGATGAATACCAACCTTAGAATGGCCGCCCACAAAATGCACTGCAAATTGCGGTGGGGCTTATTTATGGTACAGCACTTTTACAGAGCGGTTGCGGTTGTTAGACGGCGTTGGCGGTTCCTTTTATGGCCAGTGGGTGGGAAAAAATCAATAAACTATTCCGTCGGCGGATGGCGCTTTGATTTATGATTTTCGATAAATGCCTCAGCACTCAGCCTCAATCTGTGGAAATCTGCGGAAATCTGTTGAAATCTGTTGAAACTGTCGCCGCATTCCGATTGCGAGTGTCGAAGGAAAATTTGCATGCCAAAGCATTAACGCTTTGCCATTCGATAATTGCATGAAATGAAATCTGAAATCTGAAATCCAAAATTCCCCACACTCCGTACCACAGCGCCCTTTGCGCTACCCAATACCAATTCCAATTCCAATTCGAATGGATCGCTTCACTTTTCGACACGTTCACGTTTGCTTGACTTTGCCTTTGGTTTGGCCACTCCTTTGCTCCAAAAATCCCCTCCTGCGCTGCATGCGAATATCGATTGGGTTGCCCATGCTTTTTTTTATTCAATTATAGTTATATGGCAGTGGAGGTGCTCCGGTTCTGGATTCTGGATTCGGGTTCCTCGATTCTCGATTCTCGGTTCTGGAGTGCCAGCCAAAGTTTACCCGCCTCGGATTGGTCGGTGGGGCATGGCAGTGGGACTGGGATTGGGATTTGAAATGGGACTGTGACTGGGACTGGGACTGGGACAGGGAGCATGGAATCATTCTGGGTGACGGCGACGAGTGGTGGGCAATAGGAAATCCAATTGAACCGCTGTGGGTTTTCTTTGCACCCAATTCATCGAAATGGCGTTTAATGGAATTTCCTCTGCAGCAAGAATTTTCCGACTAATAATACTTTTAGCAGCTCAAGTAAGTTTTGAAAAGGCATATGCTAGATATTGCCAGAAGAAACTGAATATCTCTACCTCATAGTTTTCAACACTATCTGTTGCCGAATTTCAATACCTTCTCATTCCCATTTCGCATGCCACTTACCCTGCGACCGAGTGGCAACTTTTCGAGGCAAACAGCAAACTGCCAACATGTGCGACCATGAAATCTGATATGCCACAAAGGGAGTGGCACAGGGAGGAGTGCTACCCTGCGTGCAACGTGCTGCTAATAGAATAATTCGTTAATGTAACTACAACTACGCGATCCACAGATATGCCGACAGACAATAATCCATTGACAGGCAGACAAAGTAAGAACAGACAGCGGCGATTATCTTTGGCTTTTTATCTAAATTTAATTCGATGCGTACGAGAAGATTGTACATTTGGCAGTTGGCAATCCATATGCTCCAGCAGATGCAATAATGCAATTAGGGTGGGTTGAAATATCACAACTCATAGATACGAATGTATAAAAATGTACTAGTTCTATGACTAAAGTTGTTTTGGTTGTAAAATCATGTACAATCGATTCTGTTCTTGTGTTGAGTGCACCTCTTATATACTCGGCTTAATTTAATCTTAGATACTCACATGGATGGGTGGCGGCGAAGGGGTAGTCGAGGGTGGGCAGGCGCGGGGGGTGGGGGCCGCAAGGATGCAGGGCGGGGGGGCACTGGTAGCAAAACATTCCTCTGCCCGCGGCTGCAGGACCGAGCTGAAATCGAAATCGAAATCAAAATCAATGACAATATAGCATGGGAATCGGAATCGAAATTGAGAAAAAGAATCTTTAAATTGCATGTAATTTTGATAAATTCACTTGCCAATCACGTCATGACAACGATGATCATCATGACGATGATGATAACGATGATGATGAACGAGAAACTTGTAATTTAAGTGCACAATTGAATTGGAGACATGCGGGTATTGGCATTCCTCCTGTTGGCTTTTTGTGGGGCGACTCTGCGTCGCCTTTAATGTTGTCATATGCACCTCAAACTCAATTCGATTCAATTAAAGGCAATTACAGACTTCTGACAAATCATCCACAATCGATTTCATCTGCTTTTGCATCTCTGTAGCTCTCGATTCTCGTCGCTGCATTGTGTGTCGTCTGCATACAATTAAATTGTCCTCAAACGAATCAATTGATTTAAATTAATTGCATTTGCCGCAAAAGACTCGCCATATAACTATGGCCGCCACTGTAACTGCTCTTGATGAACTCACTTCAGTTATGAGTCGATGTTTTGCGTTCGCCTGGCGCCTTTCTCAATGCATTTTCCAGCTTAATTAGTCGAGGAATTTCTCCCAACACTCATATGCACGGCGAGGGATAGTTGTATCTTTCGGATACAAAGCGGGTAGGAAACGCAGTCAAGCTAGAGATGGTCAGATAGCCAAGATCAGCGAAAGGCGCTGAGAAAGTGCACTCGTCATTTGCCTCAATGAAATTGATATGGGTGGGAAAATGGTGTGGCACATCACTTGAATTCGAGCCATCTTGAATTTAAATTTCAAATAAAAACGTGGTTTTCTAGGGAAATGTTACACATTCCTGTATAAATAAATTATGGCCCATTTGCTATACTCGTGCACACTTTAGGCAACATTTCTTTATGCATACACGCAGCCCGGCCAATTTCCTGTGTTGTTGCAACGATGATGCAGCCTTCCTTCTTTTTGGCTATCACATTTCCCGCTGCATTTCAATTGCAATTAAAATTAATTGTAACTTCTATATGACACATTATCCGCACACAGGCCCATCAACCAAACAGTTGCACCATCCGGATTGCAGGTGGGTCCTGCGCCTTGCTGTGTGCCGACATTTTAATTTATTTGAGTAAATTTGTTAAAAAAATTGCCTGAATTTTATTTATGGTGCTCGCCACACGACTGTTGGCACATGCACCCACCACCAGCACCACCCACAACACCACCCACCGCCCACCGCCCACCGCCCAGTGCACCACAAGTGTTAGCATATCATGTTACAGACTATTTCCGCCAAATTTACACACGCAAAATAATTTAACGTGCTCAGCGGCAGCGCGTGTCCTGCCTACGCTGGTGTCCTGAGTGCACTGAGAAAAATTACGCAGCTTATGTTCTTTCAAATTAGTTAGTTAAAACCTAGTAACAGTTGCACATCTAACAACAACAATTGTGCTGCTACATTCATTTTGATTTAACTGAGTTACTCAGCAAAAGTTTTTTCTGTTACATTCCCAACTAGATTTTTCTAAGTGTCCTTGTACAGCCTCCTGTTTCCTGGTCGCAGATGTGTCCGCGTTCCCAAAAGTCAAGCCCCGACAAGTGGCGCCAATAAATTTCCATTTAGTGCGGGAGCGAATGGGGCACCTCACCTGCCCCTTGTGCGCCGCCCTTCTTTTCGGCCACGCCCCCTCCCCCTTCCACATTTCGCACGCCGGGGAAGGCATTCCATTAGAATTGTGAGAATTTGTAATTTTGCATAATTGTTATATTTGGAGTCCGTCGGCCGCAAAACTCATTTGCCAAATGGAAAATTGCCATTTCGTGTCTAATGTTGCACATGCGGCCTGCCTGTTGGCAACTGGCAACTGGATGCTGGCAACTGGATGCTGGCAACTGGCTGCTGGCAACTGAATGCTGAATGGTTTGGGCCAGGTCCACAGGAACTGGTTGCAAAGTTTTAGTGGCATCGCCAACAGAGGGATTTGCACGGTGTTGGGGCTTTTGGGGCCTGCCAGGCCGTTACTGGTGTTGTTAGTGAATTAATTTCCAGTGAATAATTTATGCTGAATTATTTTGGACGTATTAAATAGGCCCAGCAGAGGGGCAGGCTTTTGCGGTGCCCAGTAGTGGAGCAGAGCAGAGTACCCGGCTAATACTCCCATGTGCATGTGCGTTCACAGATGCGCACGAAAGCCCTCACTTGTGTTGGACCTTGGGGCGTTACATTTAAATCAAATCAAAATGCTATTTCTGAAATTGATTTTTGAAATTTTAATGTCCGGATCGTGTCCCGGAGATTATGTGCCCAACCCGAAACCCACTGCAAAGTGGAATGCTGATATGGGCCTAATTAGTTGGCACAACTGCGAGACACAAATTGGACAGGGCTTTTACTTTTGCATAATTCGCACGGGCAGAAACATTTCGGTAGTAAAATAACCAAGGAAAATAATTACTAATCATAATACCTATAACAGAAGTATTATAAGGTCATTGTAGCACTTTATGAAGCAATAAATATGCGCGTAAACTATTTAACAGCTCATAGAAAAGTAATAAAATGTGTGACGTTCTACTTAAGATTTATGTGCAAATTTTTAGTCGCTCTGTGGCAGCAGAGAAACAAGGTTCAAATTACAGATAAGAACTTACATATGATGCAATATTTTGTCATAATTTTTGCCACATTTTCTATTCTGGCACTTGTTCAGGGAAAAAGAGATCGTAAGTAGAATGAAATCACTCTTGACTGAGTGATACATTTCTTTCGAACAGCAAAGTGCAAAGTGATCCTTTTGTAACCGGAAAATGCCAGCAAATTGTAACAGGATACACATTTACACCGGAAAAAAACGGGTGTTCGATTTACTCTGCGGAAGGCTGTCGAGTTACTGGTAACTTTTTTAATACACGACAGCAATGCGAGAAAAATGATTTTCTCTCGCTAAATTACGGAGACCTCGTCGAGTTGCAAAGAAACCTATTGTATTTACTTGCGGTAATATCTTAAGAATAGATTTAAATGAAATAATGTATTATATATTACAATATATTACTTTAAAAATATGTTTAACAAGTGAAAATCGTAGTCCATTCATACTGGTTAACTTAAATATCAAAAAGTTATGTTGAGTCCTAATAAATTTACCTACATATGAAATATTTCTTAGCGAAAAGGGTGTATTTATGTCCATAAATATTTATTATAACTTTTATATTTTATTGCCTATTCTTACACCTTTAATGCAGCAATCAATGTGCAAATACGTTTATTTTATGACGATCCGTAGTATAAGGTGAGCTGAACTTATTAAGATTCACCAATAAGTACAGAAGACAAAGCCCGTTTCAGCCCAGTTATACTGTGCACTTTAGTCATTTTGAAACACCACCTGAAGATAGTGTACAACCCGAGAAAATGAAGTTCGTGGCCTTGCTATCCTTGATGACCATTGCAATTGGCCTCGCCCAAGGACAAAGGGATGGTGGGTATAACTTGGCCACTTTGCACAATCAATATAATAATTTATATACTTTCATTAGTCAAGTGCTTCATGGAGCCACTGCCACAGGGATTTTGCAGTAGGCAGATTGTAGGGTACACCTATTCGAGAGTGCGAACCAGTTGCGTAAACTATGAAGCCCTAGGCTGCGCGGTTGCGGGCAATTTTTTCACCGACAAAAAAGTGTGTGAGGCCAGATGCAAGCCTGTGCTCACTTTTAGAAACAATCCATTCAGTTATTACGTCGAAGGAGCTTTCGACCAGGCCACCAAAATGTTAAGAAGATTATTGGGTTGAGCTCTGTAAAATAATTGATGTGTAGTATGGAACAAATAAAATGTAATTGAGCTCATTCGTAAAATAATTGCTTTGTAGTTTATTGGTATGCAAATTATAGTTTCATGACATTTTTCAAACCGAATCTAATGATATATGCCCATAATGCCTGGAGTTCGAGTTTTCAGTCACTGGTGAGCAGCTGAAAGCAACACTTCATATCTTCCAAATGAATTTGCTCTCTTGGGTTATCCTAATATGTATCCTAAGTGGCCTTTGTCTTGGGCAAAAGCAACGTAAGTGCCAACTTAACTGAAAAAATTCGGTTTGACTTATGGAAACTTCTACTTTTTAGCCATTTGTAGGTCTGAACCGAATGTGGCTGGAACTTGCGAACAGCAAATTAAAGGGTATACCTATGAAGTCCGAAGAAATAGGTGCAAGAAGTTCAGGGTGAAGGCCTGTAAGGTAACTGGAAACTTCTTCCTTAGCAAGGATGCGTGCAATGCGAAGTGCAAGGACTCCAGGAGGTCTGGTGAAAACGGAATCTTTGAGTTCTGGACACGGGCTATGTCGCAGTTTCAGCAGATGTTTTCATGCCTAATAAGGTTGGCTAGATTTTGAGGTTGCGGTTGCTGATGTACCAATAAATTGCATTGGTAATACTTGTTTAATACTGGTTTTGATACTGCTTATTTACTGAGCACAGTTTACGTTTTATATTATTTGATATATTCCTTTAAATTCATTAACAGCAAGTTTCTATATATTTTTATAGTTATTAAAACCACCTTTAAAGCAGCTGTTTGACTATAGCTAATTTGGGGTAATATAAACTTAGAAAAGCACATTAATTTCTTGGTGATTTTAATCATAACTCGGCTAAAAATTATCATAAACATGAAAGAAAAACTGTTTTGAGCAGCTAATTACCAATACTAACGATCCCTATCCCTTTTTGACGGATTTTGGGAAATTAATTTTTGGGTCAATTTTTGCATTTTTTGTAAGGGGTAACATCATTAAAATTTGCAAAAAATGGCAAAAAAATCGAGTTTCCATTTTTAAACACAGTTCGATTGGAAATTATATTACAAACGCAACGAGGTATACCATTTAATATTCAGACAATTATTTTAAAAGTTGTGGCCAAAAAACTGATTAGATATAGATTCACCAATAAGTACAGAAGACAAAGCCCGTTTCAGCCCAGTTATACTGTGCACTTTAGTCATTTTGAAACACCACCTGAAGATAGTGTACAACCCGAGAAAATGAAGTTCGTGGCCTTGCTATCCTTGATGACCATTGCAATTGGCCTCGCCCAAGGACAAAGGGATGGTGGGTATAACTTGGCCACTTTGCACAATCAATATAATAATTTATATACTTTCATTAGTCAAGTGCTTCATGGAGCCACTGCCACAGGGATTTTGCAGTAGGCAGATTGTAGGGTACACCTATTCGAGAGTGCGAACCAGTTGCGTAAACTATGAAGCCCTAGGCTGCGCGGTTGCGGGCAATTTTTTCACCGACAAAAAAGTGTGTGAGGCCAGATGCAAGCCTGTGCTCACTTTTAGAAACAATCCATTCAGTTATTACGTCGAAGGAGCTTTCGACCAGGCCACCAAAATGTTAAGAAGATTATTGGGTTGAGCTCTGTAAAATAATTGATGTGTAGTATGGAACAAATAAAATGTAATTGAGCTCATTCGTAAAATAATTGCTTTGTAGTTTATTGGTATGCAAATTATAGTTTCATGACATTTTTCAAACCGAATCTAATGATATATGCCCATAATGCCTGGAGTTCGAGTTTTCAGTCACTGGTGAGCAGCTGAAAGCAACACTTCATATCTTCCAAATGAATTTGCTCTCTTGGGTTATCCTAATATGTATCCTAAGTGGCCTTTGTCTTGGGCAAAAGCAACGTAAGTGCCAACTTAACTGAAAAAATTCGGTTTGACTTATGGAAACTTCTACTTTTTAGCCATTTGTAGGTCTGAACCGAATGTGGCTGGAACTTGCGAACAGCAAATTAAAGGGTATACCTATGAAGTCCGAAGAAATAGGTGCAAGAAGTTCAGGGTGAAGGCCTGTAAGGTAACTGGAAACTTCTTCCTTAGCAAGGATGCGTGCAATGCGAAGTGCAAGGACTCCAGGAGGTCTGGTGAAAACGGAATCTTTGAGTTCTGGACACGGGCTATGTCGCAGTTTCAGCAGATGTTTTCATGCCTAATAAGGTTGGCTAGATTTTGAGGTTGCGGTTGCTGATGTACCAATAAATTGCATTGGTAATACTTGTTTAATACTGGTTTTGATACTGCTTATTTACTGAGCACAGTTTACGTTTTATATTATTTGATATATTCCTTTAAATTCATTAACAGCAAGTTTCTATATATTTTTATAGTTATTAAAACCACCTTTAAAGCAGCTGTTTGACTATAGCTAATTTGGGGTAATATAAACTTAGAAAAGCACATTAATTTCTTGGTGATTTTAATCATAACTCGGCTAAAAATTATCATAAACATGAAAGAAAAACTGTTTTGAGCAGCTAATTACCAATACTAACGATCCCTATCCCTTTTTGACGGATTTTGGGAAATTAATTTTTGGGTCAATTTTTGCATTTTTTGTAAGGGGTAACATCATTAAAATTTGCAAAAAATGGCAAAAAAATCGAGTTTCCATTTTTAAACACAGTTCGATTGGAAATTATATTACAAACGCAACGAGGTATACCATTTAATGTTCAGACAATTATTTTAAAAGTTGTGGCCAAAAAACTGATTATTTTATGACCGAAATTCAAAAAAACGGATTTTGGCCAAAATTAAAATATTTTTGATGGACGTTTTAATCATAACTTGGCTAAAAATTATCATAAACATGAAAGAATAACTGTTTTGAGCAGCTAATTACCAATACTAACGATCCCTATCCCTTTTTGACGGATTTTTGGAAATTAATTTTTGGGTCAATTTTTGCATTTTTTGTAAGGGGTAACATCATTAAAATTTGCAAAAAATGGCAAAAAAATCGAGTTTCCATTTTTAAACACAGTTCGATTGGAAATTATATTACAAACGCAACGAGGTATGCCATTTAATGTTCAGACAATTATTTTAAAAGTTGTGGCCAAAAAACTGATTATTTTATGACCGAAATTCAAAAAAACGGATTTTGGCCAAAATTAAAATATTTTTGATGGACGTTTTAGTCATAACTTGGCTAAAAATTATCATAAACATGAAAGAAAAACTGTTTTGAGCAGCTAATTACCAATACTAACGATCCCTATCCCTTTTTGACGGATTTTGGGAAATTAATTTTTGGGTCAATTTTTGCATTTTTTGTAAGGGGTAACATCATTAAAATTTGCAAAAAATGGCAAAAAAATCGAGTTTCCATTTTTAAACCCAGTTCAATTGGAAATTATATTACAAACGCAACGGAGTATACCATTTAATGTTCAGACAATTATTTTAAAAGTTGTGGCCAAAAAACTGATTATTTTATGACCGAAATTCAAAAAAACGGATTTTGGCCAAAATTAAAATATTTTTGATGGACGTTTTAGTCATAACTTGGCTAAAAATTATCATAAACATGAAAGAAAAACTGTTTTGAGCAGCTAATTACCAAGACTAACGATCCCTATCCCTTTTTGACGGATTTTGGGAAATTAATTTTTGGGTCAATATTTGCATTTTTTGTAAGGTAACCTCATCAAAATTTTAAAAAAATGGCAAAAAAAATCGAGTTTCCATTTTTAAACACAGTTCGATTGGAAATTATATTACAAACGCAACGAGGTATACCATTTAATGTTCAGACAATTATTTTAAAAGTTGTGGCCAAAAAACTGATTATTTTATGACCGAAATTCAAAAAAACGGATTTTGGCCAAAATTAAAATATTTTTGATGGACGTTTTAATCATAACTTGGCTAAAAATTATCATAAACATGAAAGAATAACTGTTTTGAGCAGCTAATTACCAATACTAACGATCCCTATCCCTTTTTGACGGATTTTTGGAAATTAATTTTTGGGTCAATTTTTGCATTTTTTGTAAGGGGTAACATCATTAAAATTTGCAAAAAATGGCAAAAAAATCGAGTTTCCATTTTTAAACACAGTTCGATTGGAAATTATATTACAAACGCAACGAGGTATGCCATTTAATGTTCAGACAATTATTTTAAAAGTTGTGGCCAAAAAACTGATTATTTTATGACCGAAATTCAAAAAAACGGATTTTGGCCAAAATTAAAATATTTTTGATGGACGTTTTAGTCATAACTTGGCTAAAAATTATCATAAACATGAAAGAAAAACTGTTTTGAGCAGCTAATTACCAATACTAACGATCCCTATCCCTTTTTGACGGATTTTGGGAAATTAATTTTTGGGTCAATTTTTGCATTTTTTGTAAGGGGTAACATCATTAAAATTTGCAAAAAATGGCAAAAAAATCGAGTTTCCATTTTTAAACCCAGTTCGATTGGAAATTATATTACAAACGCAACGGAGTATACCATTTAATGTTCAGACAATTATTTTAAAAGTTGTGGCCAAAAAACGGATTATTTTATGACCGAAATTCAAAAAACGGATTTTGGCCAAAATTAAAATATTTTTGATGGACGTTTTAATCATAACTTGGCTAAAAATTATCATAAACATGAAAGAATAACTGTTTTGAGCAGCTAATTACCAATACTAACGATCCCTATCCCTTTTTGACGGATTTTTGGAAATTAATTTTTGGGTCAATTTTTGCATTTTTTGTAAGGGGTAACATCATTAAAATTTGCAAAAAATGGCAAAAAAATCGAGTTTCCATTTTTAAACACAGTTCGATTGGAAATTATATTACAAACGCAACGAGGTATACCATTTAATGTTCAGACAATTATTTTAAAAGTTGTGGCCAAAAAACTGATTATTTTATGACCGAAATTCAAAAAAACGGATTTTAACCAAAATTAAAATATTTTTGATGGACGTTTTAATCATAACTTGGCTAAAAATTATCATAAACATGAAAGAATAACTGTTTTGAGCAGCTAATTACCAATACTAACGATCCCTATCCCTTTTTGACGGATTTTTGGAAATTAATTTTTGGGTCAATTTTTGCATTTTTTGTAAGGGGTAACATCATTAAAATTTGCAAAAAATGGCAAAAAAATCGAGTTTCCATTTTTAAACACAGTTCGATTGGAAATTATATTACAAACGCAACGAGGTATACCATTTAATGTTCAGACAATTATTTTAAAAGTTGTGGCCAAAAAACTGATTATTTTATGACCGAAATTCAAAAAAACGGATTTTGGCCAAAATTAAAATATTTTTGATGGACGTTTTAGTCATAACTTGGCGAAAAATTATCATAAACATGAAAGAAAAACTGTTTTGAGCAGCTAATTACCAATACTAACGATCCCTATCCCTTTTTGACGGATTTTGGGAAATTAATTTTTGGGTCAATTTTTGCATTTTTTGTAAGGGGTAACATCATTAAAATTTGCAAAAAATGGCAAAAAAAATCGAGTTTCCATTTTTAAACCCAGTTCGATTGGAAATTATATTACAAACGCAACGGAGTATACCATTTAATGTTCAGACAATTATTTTAAAAGTTGTGGCCAAAAAACGGATTATTTTATGACCGAAATTCAAAAAACGGATTTTGGCCAAAATTAAAATATTTTTGATGGACGTTTTAATCATAACTTGGCTAAAAATTATCATAAACATGAAAGAATAACTGTTTTGAGCAGCTAATTACCAATACTAACGATCCCTATCCCTTTTTGACGGATTTTTGGAAATTAATTTTTGGGTCAATTTTTGCATTTTTTGTAAGGGGTAACATCATTAAAATTTGCAAAAAATGGCAAAAAAATCGAGTTTCCATTTTTAAACACAGTTCGATTGGAAATTATATTACAAACGCAACGAGGTATACCATTTAATGTTCAGACAATTATTTTAAAAGTTGTGGCCAAAAAACTGATTATTTTATGACCGAAATTCAAAAAAACGGATTTTGGCCAAAATTAAAATATTTTTGATGGACGTTTTAATCATAACTTGTCTAAAAATTATCATAAACATGAAAGAATAACTGTTTTGAGCAGCTAATTACCAATACTAACGATCCCTATCCCTTTTTGACGGATTTTTGGAAATTAATTTTTGGGTCAATTTTTGCATTTTTTGTAAGGGGTAACATCATTAAAATTTGCAAAAAATGGCAAAAAAATCGAGTTTCCATTTTTAAACACAGTTCGATTGGAAATTATATTACAAACGCAACGAGGTATACCATTTAATGTTCAGACAATTATTTTAAAAGTTGTGGCCAAAAAACTGATTATTTTATGACCGAAATTCAAAAATACGGATTTTAACCAAAATTAAAATATTTTTGATGGACGTTTTAATCATAACTTGGCTAAAAATTATCATAAACATGAAAGAATAACTGTTTTGAGCAGCTAATTACCAATACTAACGATCCCTATCCCTTTTTGACGGATTTTTGGAAATTAATTTTTGGGTCAATTTTTGCATTTTTTGTAAGGGGTAACATCATTAAAATTTGCAAAAAATGGCAAAAAAATCGAGTTTCCATTTTTAAACACAGTTCGATTGGAAATTATATTACAAACGCAACGAGGTATACCATTTAATGTTCAGACAATTATTTTAAAAGTTGTGGCCAAAAAACTGATTATTTTATGACCGAAATTCAAAAAACGGATTTTAACCAAAATTAAAATATTTTTGATGGACGTTTTAATCATAACTTGGCTAAAAATTATCATAAACATGAAAGAATAACTGTTTTGAGCAGCTAATTACCAATACTAACGATCCCTATCCCTTTTGGACGGATTTTTGGAAATTAATTTTTGGGTCAATTTTTGCATTTTTTGTAAGGGGTAACATCATTAAAATTTGCAAAAAATGGCAAAAAAATCGAGTTTCCATTTTTAAACACAGTTCGATTGGAAATTATATTACAAACGCAACGAGGTATACCATTTAATGTTCAGACAATTATTTTAAAAGTTGTGGCCAAAAAACTGATTATTTTATGACCGAAATTCAAAAAAACGGATTTTGGCCAAAATTAAAATATTTTTGATGGACGTTTTAATCATAACTTGGCTAAAAATGATCATAAACATGAATGAATAACTATTTTGAGCAGCTAGTTATCAATACTAAAGGTGCCAGTTTTTAGTCGTTTGAAAGCTGAGCAATGGAGACGAGGTTTGTGGTCATAACTTTCCTTATAATCTACATACTGGCCCAAACGAATGGTAAGCATTCAACTAACTAACCTTATGATATCCAATGAGATGCCCAAACTATTTGCAGCCAATTGTGGCAAGAAGCCAATTGTGGACGGGAATTGCGACCAGAGAATCAAGGGATTTACTTATGAAACCGCAGAAAACAGATGCAAAAAGTTTAGGACAAAGGGTTGCACAGTGGGCAGAAACTATTACCGCACCAGAAATGAGTGTAATTCCAAGTGCAAGGGATGTATAAATTTGGGTGGCTTCATGAACCGAGATTCGGAAGAAAGTGAAATCGATGACTCCTGGAAGAATGGTTCGGAAGCAGGCGAAGTTGAAACCATCTCGAAAAGAGTTCTTCCGAAGTTGGTTAACAGAGGCTTGGAGAGAAAAGAAATCGTTGACTTCCTTGTGGCATCCAATCAGTTTATGGACATGGTAGCAGCCTTCTTATATTTGCTTCGATCACTTTGATTGTTTTTGGGCGCCACTGTGAACTACTTAAGGAATTAAAAACTTTACCATATACAAGTGATATTCTGTTCTTTACATGTTTTCTGGTTTTACATTTTTCCCTGACCGTTTCCTACTCCACTGAAGGTGTCTACTTTTGGGCCGAACCTGCTAATTGTCATCACCTGCGATTTTCGCCACCTGAAGTGGAGTTGTTGCAGGTGTTGCTGTTGCTGTTGCAGTTGCAATTGGTGCGGCAACTGTCGCTGCAGCCGGCAACTGGCGACGCCAAGCCAAATGCAATTATCCAATTGCACGAAATGCACTTGGCAATGTTTGTGGCCTAGACAATGCAACACAACTCGCTGTGTCCCAGTGTGTGTGTGTGTGAGGGTGCTGGCGTGTGTGTGCGTGGGTATCTGTGTGTGGATGTGGCAGCAGCACACGCGAAATTCAATTAAGTGCGCACTAAACAGCGCAACGATTTCGATTGGACTGCGCTCCCTGAAACGCCAAGCGAAAACGCGGTGCACGTGGGAAAATCCCATGTAAGTATTTTTATTTTAAAATATTTTAAAGTTTGATATACTCCTCAAGAAAAATTGATTGTTTCTAGCATTGGTCCATCGAGCCGCATACTTTACCAAATTCACGTTATTATTAGTTAGTTTTTCACAGTGCAGGAAAACGGATGGAAAATGCTAAGGGGGGCATGGCGCAATGCTGGTGGAAGGGCCTGCAGATTGGTGGAAATCTGTGTGGTAAGCCTTTGTTGTCCACTCGGTCCTCGGACATGGGGTTTAGTAATGGAAGCTGCGCTAGTTTCTGCCACGAGCCGTCGCCAAAAACGGGGAAATTCAATCAGAGCGGGAGGATTACGATTTGGAGGGGACTTTGGATGGGGGCATGGGGAGCACAGCAGCGGATGTGGATGCAGTGTTCGCCAAATTGCATTAGGTGGCGGAGGGATGCTGGAGTAGCCAGCTTGAAAGGTCTAAAATCGTTCCGAAAAGGCTGTTGAACCACTCCGTTTAATGGCTCTTAAACTATTTGTTGGTTAGCAAATTGCATTGCTTACAGAAATGCGTAACAAATAAGATGGCGTGCAAGACTGTGTAGAAGTATAGTTTTCTACCAAATTGTTAGTTAATTATATTCCCAAAATTGTACTTTATATGCAATCACAGCTGATTTCGAATTTATTTCCATAGGCCTTTCCACAAGTGCACAAAATAAAATACGAAATTAACTCAAAATTAATTAAAACGCATCAGAACATAATGCAATTTGCTGCAGAGGCAGCAGCGACAAATGCTGAGGGCATTATGCAACAGCTGCAGCTATAAAAAGTAATATAAATATAAATTAATAATGTCACGAATGACGACAACAACAACAACAACCACGGCGTGGAGACAAAACGAGCAATTGCATTAATTGAGCAAACAACAAAGTGGGAAATGCACTGCGTCTGGACAACGGAAAGCCCAACAACATTGGATGCACATGAATATGGATGAGTCTGGACGCCAATGCCAATGCACTCTCCATGCAACAAATGCACTTCGCAGCGCCAGCAAAAAAAAAATAGCACGAGGAGCAGGAATTATCAACTGTCGCTTGATTAATTTGAATTAACCAAATTAAAAATGGAAACACAAGTCAATCAGCGAGTGCAACACCCAGCAGCGATGACTCGTCATGGGCGACCAAAGGGGTCATCAGACCCAGTATTCTATGGTCTACATTTGATGCTGGAATAAGAAAAGAAAGCCAACTTTCAGCCCCTCCATAAATTGATTAATTGTATGATCATTTTCGGTGAGAACCCAAATCCAAATTCGGCTCAAATCAAAATTTGGATCGGCAGATACAAATTTGTGTGCAAATACCATATATGCTGAGTCAAGAAGTTCAGAAGGAAGTTTTCCCAGCATTTTCACAGCCCCTTGAAGGTCAGAAGCGGATAGGCTGACCACCGACCTGCTTTCATTCAGGGGCAGTTGCACTAATGGACTTATCGGCCGCTCGAATCTCGGAAACACAGATTCGCAAGAGCGCAGTGCAGCTGGAAAGTGGCATAATTCGCAGCCAGAGCAGAGACCAGGCTGCTGCACTGCCTCCGCTGTTGGGTATCACATCCATGGGCATATCCACGTGCGCATCCCTGCTCCGAAGCCCCGTCCCGCTGGCATTAGAGCCACTTAAACGCATTTGCGAAATTGCCCACCGCCGCCCACCCACCCACACACTCGTTTAGCTCTAGTTTTCCTAGTTTTCATAGTTTTCCCAGTTTTTTGTTTGCCCCAAACCGAAAGCGCGATAATTTCCCACTGAGGTGAGATGATATGGTACTGGAGCAGTAGGAGGAGGAGGATGTGGAGGTGGGTGGCGATGAGGCTATCACTTTTGCCACCGAAGTAAAGTGCATCCGTTTTTAGAAATGTCTGCCTGTCCGACCGGCGTAATCAAACTAAACTGGCGCAGTCTGCCACTGATGATCCAACTTGGAGTGGGCTTTGATATGATGGATACAGTAAAGCTTCCCGGTGTGGGAAGACTTTTTCAACTGCATACTGATATGGCAGTAGCTGTGAGCTATTGAGAATCTTGTATCTCAGTTAATATACAAATAAAATATGTACAAGTGGTTACGCTTCCATGTGTTGGGAGTCCCCACTGTCTAGTCAAACCATTTGCATATGCCCCATCTAAGTATCCCTCTTGATTGCAGTTTTGGTTGAGCGTTTTCCTTTTTTGCATATTTTTTGCTGCTTTTGTTTTGTCTCGCGGCGCATTAAGCGAATTTGCGAGGTTCGAATTTGATTGTGTCAATTGGCTCGCGCCTAGAATCAGAGAATCAGGGAATCAGGGAATCAGAGCCTCGGCGTAAATCGCATCCAAATGATGCCGTGCATTTGGCCGTTGAGCCACCCACCACAACGAATCAGCGCCAGAATGCTGCACTGCAAAAAATGAGCGTAAATTGAATTAGCCAGCCGTGCTGCACCCCGCCAGTTTTTCGTGTCCAAGTGTCGCCAGCTTATCCCAACTCGAAAGCCAAACGGAGCCGATTCCAAAAGCTAACCCTTCAATTAGTGCCGCATATGTGCTATATACACATATAGTATAGCATGGTATGGTATATCATCATCTTCGGGGCGCCCGCATGGGGTGTAAAATCGGTGGATCACCCCTACTGACTGGTTTTCTTGTTTTATAAATATTTTGATTGAATTTGCTGTTTAATTAAAGCAAATTGTTTTGTGCATTTCACTTGGGCGGGGGACGGGAGGTGTTGCTACCGTATATTTATTAAGCTCTGTGGGGGGTCGTTAAGTGATTGAGAAACGCAGGGGAAAATTTAAGTGGGATATGACATTTTCCAGGAGTACGCTGACCAAATCAAATGAATATGCCCTGCACAGATTATCGAACTATCATTGTGTTATAAATTGAATTAATGCTTAGAAAACAGAACCTTATTGTAGTTATTAAAGGCAATGATTTCAGCACTATCCATCTCTTTGAAATATTAGCACTGTGACACGTCTCATTTGCATATGGAATGTGCCTGGACGAGAATGTGTGGACCCCAATCTATCCATCAATTTGGAGCATTCACCAATTCGATGCTCAATTCAATCAAGCAATCAATAAACATGGCCGAACTAACCTCCTTCGACTAGCGTTCTCTGCGGTAATTCCATTTGCTAATTTAAATATGCCAAATTGTATTTTATTTGTATGCCGTCCTATTGCACCGCCCCCTTCAGTGCGCTTTCCCCCCTTTTTTGCCCCCCACCGCCACCCATGCTTCCCTAATTGAGTTGAACGAATCGCACAGAACTTGGCGACGAATGGAAAACCGTTCGTCAACTCCAATTGACTCCTATGTGGATCCAGTCAGCCACCCCCCGTTCGCCACCCACCGCCCCTTTCGCGTGGGCGTGGCATCCAGTGGAGCGTTGAACGTTTGCATGGCTGCCAATTAATTTGCGGTTGATCAATTTAATTTGAAACTTCGTTTTCCCCCCATTTCTTTTTTTTTTTTTGGTCCGCTCTTTGGCGAATTATTTGCCATTGATTTTGGTACCCTTGCTCCATCTCCTTTGCGCACATGGGGAATCGCAATCCACGAGCTGCCTCCTCTTTTTTCCTCTCTTAATTACCATCAATTATTCAAACTGCATTTGCGGAGTGATCAACTTTTGGTCTGTCTTCAATTAAGCGGCGAGTTTTCAACCGAAATGCCCCCCTTCTTTGCTGTTCATGGCAATCTCCTTTGGATCCTTGCTGCCGAATACTTTATGCATACACCAATTTTGGTTTTAATTCTTTTTTCGCCTCGAATCCCCGATTTTTTACTCCTTTGCACTCCAAGTGCTTCACGAGTTTTGTGCGATTTCTCACAGGAAAGGCATCGGCACAAACACTTTTGCCAGACACTTTGCGACTGGCACACAAAACACACACTCCAGGACTCCAGGACGCAGGACTCTCGAAAGCCGAGATTCTTATCACACGGGAACTCATTAGGAATTTCCTTAATGCAAATTAAAAGCGTCTAAATAAATTATGAGCACAGTGTGCTGTGAATTGAAAGCGAAGTCTGCGATTATCTTTTGAATCAGATGCTTGAGCATGTCAAACAATGGAATCCTAACGTTCTTTAATCTTTTATATATGTGTTTAAATAATAATAATAGAATTTTCTTGAGGCACTGTTACAAATCAAATGGGAACATATGAGATATTACCTTATTACCGTCCGTGAAAATTTTGGCAGCAATACTTCAAGCGTCTCACAGAAGAAAATCCCTTGCCGCTCTGTTTTTTTTTTCTGCTTTTTAGCGCTGAGCTCGACTTGAGTTGAACTTTTTCGCAATTTTCACAAAACGAACTCACGTAAGGCAGAGGTGCGAAAGTTTTCCCGAGCGTCTAAACACTTGCCAGGAAGTTTGGCCCAAAGTTCTCAGCAAGGATACGTGGGCGAAACACAAAGGATGTTGGCAAAGTTA